CATCATATCATCATCATCATCATCATCATCATCATCATCATCATCATCATCATCATCATCATCATCATCATCATCATCATCATCATCATTATCACCACCATCACCAGCACCAGCACCACCACCACCACCACCAGCAACAGCAGCGACACGTTCGCGCCCCCCCCCACCCCCACCCCCTCGGAAGTTGCGCCAGCCACGACGCCAAGCGCAGAAGCGCACATCAACGTCAGAAGTCTGGGATCAACTGTCACGCGATGTCTTCGCATAGGCCTCCTGTGCGGCGGCCTGCTCTTCATACGCGTCTGCAAATTCATTGGCCACTTCTTCCTTTGCCTCCCAATGTCCCCCCCCGTGTTCGTTCCCCCCCGGACCCCCACGACATGCCGAAGGCGTGCAGGCCCCAAGGTTTTGGGTGGCCCAAAAGGGGGTCCAGCTGAAAGGGGGTGGTGCAATAGATTTGGGGCAATTGTATTGCAAATGCATTGCGCCGGAAAATTGTATTGCATTGTATTGCAAGTCATGTATTGCACGCGAAAATACAGCAATACGTTTGTGCCCCGAAATGTATTGCACGCCCCAAATCTATTGCACCAAATCTATTGCACCACCCCCTTGTCGCTGGACCCCCTTTTGGGTCAACCCGAAAAGTGAGGACGCAAGCCGCAGCTGGACGGGAACAGTCCGGCTGCCGTTCCAAGTCGGCAAGGGCACCGCACGAGGAGAAGGGGAGGGAGCGAGAGCCAAGCGGAGGAGTCCAGCGAGTGGAGCTCCTCATCACTCATCATCATCATCATCATCATCATCATCATCATCATCATCATCATCATCATCATCATCATCATCAGCATCATCATAAGCATCATCCTCATCATCATCAGCATCAGCATCGTCATCGTCATCAGCATCATCAGCATCATCATTATCATCATCATCATGAGCAGCAGCATCATCAGCATCAGCATCATCATCATCATCATCATCATCGTCATCATCATCAGCATCATCATCATAAGTAGCATTATCATTATCATGGCACCACAACAATCAGCATTGTCATCATCATCACCATCACCGTCACCATCACCATCACCATCACCATCATCATCATCATCATCATCATCATCATCATCATCATCATCATCATCATCATCATCATCATCATCATCATCGATGGAGCGAGACCCAAGGGGAGGAGTCCAGCGAGAGGAGCCTCCCCTATCTTCCTCATCCTCCTCTCTCCCGCCTATCGTAGCGAAGCTGACCAAGCAGCCCACCCTCCGAATCCTGATCACAGGCGAGAGTGTATGAACCCAGCAGTTGCTGTTTGCTGCGATGCTGACCCGCAGCTGCGTCCCCGACAGTGGACGCAGCTGAAAACCATGCACGAGAAGTATTTCCCAACCTCGCAGCAGAAGAATGAAAGGCAGCCGTACAGACCCAAAAAACGAATCAACAACTCGCTAATCTGGTGCTGCACTGTTCTGGAAAAGCCGAGTCCTGACTGGCCGAGTTCGGCCGGCGCCGAGACCAGCCTCGGCCGAGTTCAGCCTGGCCGAGTTCAGCCTGGCCGAGTCCAGCCAGGCCTAGTCCAGCCGGGTCGAGTCGCGCCTCGTCCCGCCACGCGTCGCGCCAGCGCCGTCGGGGAATGAGCCATGCCTAGGCCTTCCCAGACGGCGCGGGCGCGAATCGCAACGCGACCGGTCCCCTCCCCATGCCCCCCCCCCATCGTCACGTCCCAAGTTATCGCCAGGGAACATCGGGGGAGGACAGAACGAACCGCCATTAGCACAACGCACTTGGGTTAAAGCAGCCAGGGGCAATCCACGTGCGCACGGGACCGCTTTCTGAGTGCACCCCAGCGGTGTAGCTAGATCAACGTCCAAAAACGACCGAATGCATCCAGCGAAGCACACATCGATGAGCGAAACCGACGGACTGCACCGGCACACTCGAATGCCAATGTCGAGTGAACAGGTGCAGACTTCCTCGGTCGACTTGTCTGGGGGGGCGCTCTGTCAATGCCCAAGAACAGAAGACGCTCTCTTGGCAGCAGCGGCGGAGGCGGCAGGCCGGCCGCCTTGGTGGCCGTGATCTGGGGCCCAGCGCTGTTCCTGCGGCTGATCCTGCGGGCGCTGTGTCTCTTCGGGGCGGCGCTGCTGCGCCGCAGACCCCAGGGAGGGGAGGGAGGAGGAGGAGGAGGAGGAGGAGGAGGAGGAGGAGGGTGAGGAGGAGGAGGAGGAGGAGGAGGAGGGGGGGGGCGAGCGAGCGAGAGAGCGAGCTGCCATGGGACTGGGGATCCGGCCCTGGCCAGGGCTGCGCGGAAGGGCCGAAGCCCTAAAACCTCAGATCGAGCAGTTCTCGACGTTTCTTTGTCCGCCGTGGCGTCGTCGGTGGTGCGGCTCAGATGGAGGGGGGGGAGGAGGGAGGGGAAGGGACGGCAGGGGCAGGGCGGGAAGGGGAGGTGGAGGGGGGGGAGAGGGAGGGGGGGGGGAGGGGAGGCGAGGGGGGAAAGAAAGGGGGGGAGAGACATTATGGGGGGGAGGGGAGGCAGGGGCAAGGTAAGAGGGGAGGTGCGGGGGGGAGTGAGTGAGTGAGTGAGTGAGTGAGTGAGGGGGTTGGTAAGACAAGTCGCGAAGCAAATAGGTGAGTGAGCGAGTAAGGGAGATTCGGGGCAGGGCAAGAGGGGAGGTGGACAAGCGAGGTGCGCTTGCGCCATGTCTGGCATGCTACCCCTCCCGCCCGTCCCTTCTCATTGTGCTGACTTTTCTAGACCGGGCAAGAGTCAAGACAAGAGAGTGGAGGAGGGCGTGAGGGGAGCGAGTGGGCGAGCCCAGTCGCGAAGCGAATCCGAAGAAACGAAGAGCGACGAGCGAGCTCGGGCCGGCTCCAAGGCTTCGCGGCCGCCCTGGTGGGGGGAAGAGGATGCGCAGGTAGGTGGGCGTGGTGCGCAGGGGAAGGCGAGGCGTGCGAGCGTTATGTGTGTGTGTTGTGTTTGTGTGGTGGGTGTTGTCTGCTATGTGTTGTGTGCTGAGTGCTATGGGATGTGTGTGCTGTGCCTTGTGTGTTGTGGTGTGTGTGTTGCGTGCTGCGTGCTGCGTGCTGTGTGTTGTGTGTTGTCTGTTGTGTGGTGTGTGTGGTGTAATGTGTTGTGGTGTGTGCTGTGTGTTGTGTGGTGTGCGTTGCGTGCTGTGTGGTGTGTGCTGTGTTGTGTGTTGTGTGTTCTGTGTTCAGTGTGCTGTGTGTGTTGTGTGATGTCTGTGTTGTGTCGTACACTGCGTGTGTGTTGATTGTGCTGTGTGGCGTGTGGTGTGTGCAGTGTGTGGTGTGTGTGTGCTGTGTGCAATGGGTGTTGTGTGCATGTGTTGTGTGTTGTGTGTGGTGTGTGTTGTGTGCTGTGTTATGCGTGTTGTGTGTGTGTCGTATTAGTGTGCGTGTGTGTGCTGTGTGCTGTGCGTGTCGTGTGTATTATGTTGTCTGTTGTGTATGATGTGTGCTGTGGATTGTGTGTTGTGTGTTGTCTGTTGTGTGCGGTGTGTGTGGTGTGGGTGTGGTGTGTGTGTGTGTGTCTGTGGTGTGTGTGGTGTGCGTGGTGTGCGTGGTGTGTGTGGTGTTGTGCTGGTGTGTGCTGTGCTGTGCTGTCGTGCTTTATGGTGTGTTGTGGTGTGTTGTGTGTTGTGTGGTGTGTATGTGTGTTGTGTGATATGTGTGTGTGCGTTGGGTTGTGTGGTGTGTGCTGTGTTGTGCTTTGTGTGCGTGTGTGCGTGTGAGCGAGTGTGCGTGTGTGCGTGTGTCGTGTGCGTGCGTGCGTGTGTGCGTCTATGTGTGTGTGTGCGTGTGTGCGTGTGTGCGTGTGTGCGTGCGTACGTGTGCATGCGTGTGCGTGTGTGCTTGTGTACGTGTGAGTCTGAGTCTTAGTCTGAGTCTGAGTCTGTGGCTGTGTCTGTGTCTGTGTCTGTGTGCGTGTCTATGTGTGCCCGTGTGTGCGTCAGTGTGTGTAGTGTGGGGGGGGCGTATGCGTGTGTGCGTGTCGTATGCGTATATGCATGTGTGCGTGTGTCCGTGAGAGCATGTGTGCGTGTGCGCCTTTGTACGTATGAGTCTGAGTCTGAGTCTGTGTCTGTGTGTGTGCGTCTGTGTGTCCGTGTGTGCGTATATGTGTCTGTGTGTAGTGTGAGAGGCGGGGGCATCCTAACGCCGAGCCCTCCTTTGTGAAAGCATCTCCCTCTCTCTCTGTGTTTCTTTATGTGTCTCCTTCCCCCCTCCCATCCGTCCTTGCGTGCGTCCGTGCCCTCTCCCTCCCTCCCTCCCTCCCCCTTTCCCTCCCCCTTTCCCTTTCCCTCCAATCCTCCAGCCGTCCCCATCCCTGTCCTACCATGCAACCCATGTCCACATCCGACCAGCCGTCAGTCAAAATTCCTTCTCCCTCACTCCACTAGTCCTGTCTCTCTCCCCCTCCAAAAACCCTCCTGCGCTAGACTGAAGGCCACAAGCCGTCCGGCGCGGGGGCAAGAAATCAAACCCAAGCAATCACATACCTTTGCGCCTGCGAAGCAGAGCAAGAGAAGGACGAAGAGGATGGTGAGGAGGAGGCGAGGAGGAAGAGGACGGCGAGAAGGAAAAGGAGAGGGAGTGGGAAGAGGAATGGAGGCAGAGGAAAAATAACAAAAAAAAAAAAAAAAGGGACGAGAGAACGGCAGGGGGGGGAGGACGAAGAACACTTCCACGCACCCCACGCGCCCCCCCCAGGGGGAGTAGGAGGACGAGAAACAGGCACCCCCCCTCCCCTGAGGGCACATCGCCGGTCCTGCGACCACCGTGGAGAGCTGGGCTGGAATCGGCGGAGCTTCGGATGCTCCCCTCGCGGGCGGCGACGCCGGATGGAAGTCCGCGGCGGGGGAGCGGATTCTTTTTTTTTGCTCCGATGAAGACACAGCAGCGGAGGGCCCCTTAAACGCGACCCGGGGGCGAGGAGCCACCCAGACTTTCGGCGACAGCCGAACGCCTTATGTACACTATGGTACCAGCCGCCGCCCGCGGCGGGGGAGCGGACGCAGAGGAGGAAGCCCCGTCCAGGCACGCAGTCGCTCCGACACCTGCCCTTTACTTGCCAGCCTGGAGCATGTCCCTATCCCCAAGCTGGGCGTCGCCTCATCACGATGCCGATCTTAGGGGTTCCGTTCGTTTTGCAGGGCGCATCCCTGATTTTGTCATCGCCTTTTGGCGTGTCAACCTTAGGGATAGGGACAAGTTCGAGGCCGGTGATTTACATGAATCCTGGCCTGCGGCCGCCTCCCCCAGCGCAGCCAAACACGGCTGCTTGGCGCATCGAGCGAAGGGGGGTCCCAAAACATCGCCCCAGGAGAAAGTGAGCCCCCAGATGACGGAGGAGGTCGCGTCGCAGGTGGAGATCGAGCCCTGGGAGAAACGCACATGGACCCCCAATGCCATCCGATGGCAATGACCTCCGAACGGCCCCTGCGAGGTGCAAGAGGGGCCCCAGGAGGCACCGGCACTGGAATCCAGATGCAAATCGATCAGCCACCTAGGAAGCCCGAGCATGGCCATCATCGTCACCGAGATCAAGGCAAGACCATCTTCCCTTGGTGAATGGTGGCATCAACCGACACTGGGTTTGGTGCAAACCTCTGAGGATCCCGCCACCTCGACGACCGCAGCTAGCCCGCCCAGCACCGCTTGAAATCGGCCCCTGGACCCCGCGCGGAGAAGCATCCAAGAGGCCCAGAGAGGACGGAAACGCCACTGCTGATGCACACCTCTGGGCCTCCGGCCACATCACGCACTCCAGCCGACGTCCAACATGGCGGCGACGGCGGTGGAGCCCGTTTTGTTCCGTGACCGGCCCCGACCCCATCGACACCCCACCGTCGCCAGGGACCCGACTCGGCCAGGCGGGGCCCGACCGGGCGGAACTCGGCCAGCCGAGTGCGGACTGGCCGAGTCGGGCCGGCCGAGTCTGGCCATCCGAGTTTGGACTGGCCGAGTCCGTCCCGGCCGAGTCGCGCCCCGACCTGGCCGAGTTCGGCCGGGTCGAGGTCCAGGGTCGAACTCGTCGGCGGCCGAGTCGGGCCAGACGCTCTCTCTCGCCGCAGCGGGAGCCCCGGCCGAAGCCCGCGTGGCCGACTCTGGAGGGCGGGCCGAGCCCGGCCAGCCGAGCCCAGCTGGCCGAACTCAAGACCCGGCCGAGCCCGGCCTGGCCGCATCGGGCCCGGCCGAGTCGGGTCTGTGGCCGAGAGGAGGAGGAGGAGTAGGAGGAGGAGGAGGAGGAGGAGGAGGAGGAGGAGGAGAGGAGTAGGAGAGGGAGGAGGAGGAGGAGGAGGGGAGGGGGAGGGGAGGAGGGGGAGGAGGGGGAGGATGGGGAGGAGGAGGAGGAGGAGGAGGAGGAGGAGGAGGAGGAGGAGGAGGAGGAGAAAAAGAAAGAGGAGGAGGTCTGGCCCGGCCGAGCCTGGCCGAAGCGGCCGGCCGAGGCCGGCCGAGGCCGGCCTTGGCCGAGGCCGGCGGGCCGACGCTCTCGGCCCGGCCGTGTGCAGACGGGCCGCGTCGGATCGCCGGGGCCCGCCCCGCACGCAAAGTGTGAGGCGCAGCTTCGAACCCAGACCCCCTCGAGCAATGAAAAAATCACGACTGGCGGTTTTCCTCAATTTTCGGCCTCCGGGGGCCTTCACCGGGCCTCGGGAGCGTCAAAAAACGATTCAGGATGAAAAAACGGTCCCGGGGAATGGGTCGAGATCTCGGGGGGTCGACGTCATGAAAAAATCATGACGTCGGGGGTCTGGGAAGAGGGAGGCGTCGAGGAGGAGAAAGGAAGGGGGAGCAGGGGGAGGGAAGGACAGTGCAGCAGCGGAGGGCAAAGAGGAAGGAGAGAGGACAAGGAGGGCGACGGAGACCACCCAATACTGCCCAAGGCCACCCAAGACCACCCAAGGCTGCCCAAAACGACCCCAAGCTACCCAAGACAGCCCAAGACAGCGCAAGACCCCCAAAAACCACCCAGGACGACCCAAGCTACCCAAGACGGCCGAAGGCTTCTCAAGACTACCCAATGCAACCCGAGACTTCCAGGTCTACCAAAAAAAATCTCAGAAGACTGCCCAAGACGACCCCAAGACTAACCAAGGAGTTGCCGCAAGCAGCGAAGGAGAGGGGGCCTGCTTGCATGGCGAGCGCAGGCTCGGGACTGCGGGGGTCGGGCCCCCCAAACACCAACCGGACGACGACGACGACGACGACGACGACGACGACGACGTCACCGAGGAGTTCTGTCAAGTTCCCAAGCTCAGATTCGGCCCCACATCCCCTGTGCGCAAAGATCCAACGACCCATGCGCCAGAGCGACAGCTGCGCCGAGAACCAGCGCACTTCGCGGGCGTGGCCGCCTTGGGATGGGCCGGCAGGGACGCGCGAAGCGCGAATCGGGGATGGACAGACCCCCCTTTAGCAAAACGCGGTTCAGTGAAAACGACCCGAGGCCCAAACCTGGCGGGCGCAAGCCTGGAAAATGACGGCCACGGCGCCCCCTCGAGAACCGAAGACGGACCATTCACGAATCGACGTGTCACTGTTGGGGGTCCTGTCCGCCCCCGAACGAAGAACACCGAAGAAGAGGAGGGGCCCGGGCCAAGAGAGAGGCCTTCCCCCCGCCCCATGTGTTATGTCGGGCCTGTCCCCCTACAGGGGGAGTTGACGAAAAATAGCAAATACCCCAAAAATGCACCAAAAAGGTCAAAAAAATAGTCAAAAAATAGTCCCCAGACTATTTTTTGATTATTTCTTGACTATTTTGGAGGCATTTTTTATTTATCGTCGAAAATCCCCCTGTGGGGGGACAGGCTCGACTTAACCCATGGGGGAGGCGCCCCGAAAGAGCCCACGCCTGCCCCTCCTCCACCCGGCCCTCGGGCCGGGTCGCCCCGGGCGGGAAGGGAGCGGGCGGGAGGAGGGAGGACGGGCGGGGAGCGAGGGACGGCGCGGAGGAGGAGGACAGGGCAGGAAGGCGTGGAAGAGGAGGGGAACGAGGGACGGCGTGGAGGAGGAGGGGAAGGAGGGACGGCGGGGAGGAGGATAGGATTGGACCGATCGCGAAGCGAAGCAACATGACCCAACCACCACCCGAGCCGTCTGCTCGGGTTGAATTAGGCTGAGGATCCTTCCCGAACATGCAAGGGAAGGACCAAAACACAAATTCACACTTCAATACTTGGGCCATAAGCCCTTGTGGATTCTCTCGAGATAACTCCTCCTGGTCGGCGTGATGCGACAACGCTTCTCAAGGGGAAGCTCGGGAGACGCAAGAAACTCTGAAATTAAACCGCGCATCTGCTGGCAACCATAAAAACCACACGAGCTGCACACCCAAAGATTCAACTTGTGACTATACAGGAGATGGTGACTGGGGTGAGTCCAACGACCTCCTATGTGCACACACTGACCCTTCGGCGCCCGCGAGAAATATTTGTCTTGCTGAGTAAGCTGAGACGCGCCCCCACGACATCTCAGGCAACTCTTTCCGTCCTCCGACAAGGAGTGGGAGGAGGAGAAAAAGGCAAAGGCAGAGGCAGAGGGGGGGGGGGAGCAACGAGACTTTTTCCCCACTGCGCGACCACCACAACGTTTTTCCTCAGCGATGGCCTCAAGGGTGGCCCGCAAAATGCGACGGCGGACCAACCTGGCCATTTGTTCCGAGCGGGCGACCTTATGTCGAAAGGAAGCTGGCACACGTGCCTCCGTAGCTGCCAGCCCCGCCATTTCGTCCGCAGCTTCATTCCCGAGAGCCACCCACGAAAGACTCGAGTCGGCAAGCTCGCTCGCGTGCGGACTGGTGTGACGAAACCTGCAGCACAGTGACTTGGTCGAAATCCCGACTCGTGCGCAATCTCTCAAGCCTGGACCACAGGTCAGCGTTGTCGCCCTGTGGCCGAACAAAACGCTGCTGGTGCCAGCCAATCATCGCCGATTCGTTGTCAGTGATGTAGATCATATGGCCAGCACTAAGTTCAACTGCAACAAGTAGCCCTATCAGCTCTCCCCTCGGAACCGTCTGACGGCGGCCGTGAAGAGGGCCTCGGATGGAGGCATCAACAACAAAAGGACTGAAAAATGAGACTGCAACCACTCCGATGCCCACCCTGCGAAGGCCCTCGCTTCTCGACTCAGGGCCCCCGCTGGCATCACCGAAAAGGAGAAGTGGCCTGGTCGCTGAGCCTGTGCCCAGCGCCCCTGGCCCCAAGGGGCCCTCGACCCCGCTGGCGAGCCAAGAAGGCTCGCTCGCTGGAGCTGGAGTGGATGTCCACACCGAAGGTAAAAGGCCCCTCAGCCAAAAACAGTGTTCCGACTCGCGTCGGCTACAAGCCTCCGCCACAAGGCACTCTGAAGCTTCGAAAGCAGGGGGCCCCACGTTCTTCGGACAAGCCCAGCACCGATGAAACTGCGTTTCGGGGGCCTCCTTGCACCTAGGGCATAAGGTGCTCTCGAGACCCCCTACTTCGTCAGAGACTCTCTGCAGCGGCTATGAGCCGCCAGCCGCGATGCAAAGCATGAGCTCCGCTAGCTGGTGCCCCTTGTGGACCCGCTCTAAAGACTGGATATAGCTGCGAGAGGATCTGTTGTCGACCCCTTGCTCCAAACCACCCCCACAAAAATGGGTCGCAGCAACCTCCCACTGCCTGCGCTTGACGGCGGCCTCGAACTCATGTATGAGGTCGCTAACATCAGTGTCGGGCCCTAGGTCCCCGTCGAAAATGAAAGCCTCTCGGCCCTCGGCTCCGCAAGGTTTGGCCCCCCACTCTGTGGCCGACACGGGGCCCCAATCGCACTGCAAAAGATATGCGATGACTGCTGAA